GAGGCTGCAGTAGTGCCACCACACTGCAGCTTGGGCAAGAAAGTGAGACCCTGTCTCTCCAAAAAAAAAAAAAAAAAGAAGAAGTAGACTCTAGACTCCAGTGCCAGCCAAGATGGAGCATTCTACTGCAGCTTATCTCTATTGCTGGTTATAACTAAACACTCCAGAATAAATATAAAAAGCAACTACCTGTGCACTCTGAAAAGTAAACAAATGCAGAATGAAACTTGGAGAAAGGGGCCCACATGGGAGTGAGTTTTCTTTGTGTGTGTGTGTGTGTGTGTGAGAGAGAGAGAGAGAGAGAGAGAGAGAGAGAGAAAGAGAGAGAGAGAGAGATCTGAGGGTACGCACACAGTGAGCTGTGGCAGTGCAGTGTGGATAGCTAAACTCTCAGAGAAGCCCTGTCTGTGTAGATCAGGGAACTCAGAAAATGAGTCTCTGGGTTTCAGAGTTGTAAGGGAGAAACGTCCATTTCTTCCCTCTCTCTTGCTGTGGCAGTGGCATGGGCAACTAACCCTCCTTAAGAAGCCCCATCATTCTGGCTCTAGGACAGAGGCATGAATTTGAGAAGAAGCCCATTAAGGAGACCTAGAGAAGGGTTCTCCTACTTCTGTGCATGAACAAGCATCTGTCCAGGGCTCCTTCCTAAGGTGCATATACACAGAACACCCCAAAGCAGCACAGCAAAAGCCTCAAAAACTGAACAACAACAACAAAAGGTGCAGGTCCAAGAATAACCCCCAAAGGGCACAGATAGATGTAAGATGATGTAAAGCAGCACAGGATAGGCTTTGAAAACTGTCTTGACATTGGAATTCACAGGGAGAAAAAAAGGCAAGACAGACCTTGCAGTCTTAATTCAACCAGATGATCACCTGCTGAAACAACTAAAATCAGCATTCTCTGGAGAACTTCAATAGGATCCAAGAGAGTCACAAAGGAATATTCAAACTGTTCAGGATACAAACTGGTATTATTCAACATACAAAGAGTCATGAAAAAGTGACCATTTTCAAACAGATAATCAACAGATATCAATGCCAAGATGACAAAATTATCAAATACTTTAAGACAGCTATTATCATCATGTTCTATAAGATAAAAGTGAACATGCTTGAAGTAAAGCTTAAGATGTAAGTTCTCAACAGAAGAAAAACTTATAAAAAGGAACCAAACAAAAGGTTTACAACTGAAAAATATATCTGAAATAAAAGATTTCGGGCCGGGCGCGGTGGCTCAAGCCTGTAATCCCAGCACTTTGGGAGGCCGAGGCGGGTGGATCACAAGGTCAAGAGATCGAGACCATCCTGCTCAACATGGTGAAACCCCGTCTCTACTAAAACTACAAAAAAATTAGCTGGGCATGGTGGCGCGTGTCTGTAGTCCCAGCTACTCAGGAGGCTGAGGCAGGAGAATTGCCTGAACCCAGGAGGCGGAGGTTGCGGTGAGCCGAGATCGCGCCATTGC